GTTTAGGGCATGGGGGAAAGGCCAATACCAGATAAAGTTGATAACTTTATGAGTTTGGGGCCTAGAGGAGTCCAGATCTGAGACCATGTCCTTGTGACAAGCTCAAACCCAAGAGTGGCTCCATTAAACCCCAAAAATGACCATAAATGTCCATAGAAGAATATCTAAGCATGAAAGGGTCAAGGTATTAGCTTTATACCTCAGATTGGTTGCCAAAACGAAGTAGATGACAGAGCCACTTCCTCCTTTCTGATCCAAGCTCCTCACTCTTCATGTTTCCCTTCCAAAATCAACAAATAACACATTTCAAGCTCTCAACACACACAATGGGGGGTTTAGGACTCGATCTATGGTTTCCTTTGGGTGCAATGAAGATGAGAGAGGCTAGGAGTGGCCCATAAGTTCTTTAAATAGGGTGCAAATCCTAAAATTTAAGGTTTCCATCCACAGCCTCTACTCGTCGAGTCGGAGTCCTCCAACTCGTCGAGTAGAAGTCATAAATCACATGGACTGACTAGGTTTGACACGACGAGTTGGGGCCTCCAACTCATCGAGTTCCTTCAATAAAATGAATATAATGCTTTTTAAAATATACCTGGGAGTCAGGGTGTTACAATTCTCCCGCACTTGAGCTAGACTTCGTCCTCGAAGTCTGTTGGGATAAATAACTAGGGGTAAAGCTCCTACATCTCTGCCTCCGGCTCCCAAGTCCACTCGGATCCCCTCCGGTGCTGCCACTATACCTTTACCAAAGGTACTTCATTGTTCCGTGGAGCCTTTACCTTCCTCTCAAGAACGGCCACTGGCCTCTCCACGTAACTCAGGCGCTCATCGACCTTAATATCATATGATGACACTACTGCCTCCTCATCCAGAATGCACTTCCGCAACTGTGAAACATGGAAAGTGCTATGAATCTGACTAAGCTCCTCTGGGAGATCTAGTCTATACATCACCTTGCCAACCCTGGCAATGATTCTGAATGGCTCGATGTATTGGGGACCTAACTTCCCCCTCTTCCTGAAGCGAATCACACCCTTTCAGGGTGAGACCTTCAGGAGTACCATGTCATCGATCTGAAACTCCAACTCCGATCGGAGTCGGTCAGCATAGCTCTTCTGCCGACTCTGTGCGGTCTGCAATGGCTGCCTGATCTGCTGAATCATTTCTGTAGTCTGCAGGACTACCTCAGTCCGACCCATCACCCTTTGACAAACCTCGCCCCAACAGACTGGGGTGCGACATCTCCGTCTATACAACAGCTCATAAGGTGGAGCACCAATGTTGGAGTGATATTTGTTGCTGTAGGAAAACTTTGCAAGGGGTAGGTAGGAGTCCCAGATCGCAACGAAGTCAATGATGTAGGCCCTCAACATATCCTCGAGGGTCTGAATGGTCTGCTCGCTTTGGTCGTCTATTTGTGGATGGTATGCGGTACTGAAATACAGACGTGTGCCCAGTTCCTCGTAGAACTTCTGCCATAAACGGGAGGTAAACCGAACATCGTGGTCTGAGACAATAGAGACCGAAACCCCATGGAGAGCGACAGTCTCACATATATATACATCGGCCAGCTTCTTGGCTGATGAACTCTCCCGAATGGGCAGGAAGTGGGCACTTTTGTTTAATCGATCCACGATGAACCATATAGCATCGAAACCCTTTGCCGCTCTTGGCAATTTGGTGATGAAGTCAATCGTAATCTACTCCCATTTCCACATGGGAATATCTAGAGGCTGCAGCTTACCATGCGGCATCTGGTGCGCGGCCTTGACCATCCTGCAGGTCAAGCACCTCTCGACGTATCAAGCGATCTCTCACTTCATGCACGGCCACCAGTAACTCAAACTCAAATCCCGGTACATCTTGGTCTTGATACATATAAGATTACAACACTATTACTTTACAAAGAGAAGTTTACATATTACGAACATTTATGAACTCACCAACTTAATTGTTGACACTCTTTTCAAATAACTTGTATTCTCAGGAAATCAATTAAGCAGGTAATCACAAGCTTTTGGAAGATGAGGCGTTATGACGTCTAAGCAAATCTTTTGATAACATATTATAATCATCTTTTGAAATATGTAACGTATACAAATGATGTAACTTTTTCGATTATATATATGTTGGTTGTGTTGCTTTGATCATTTATACTCAACTGTTATGATACTTAACATGATAGTCACCCGCCCCTGGACGTCTATGCCGTTCTGGTTTGGGGGTGTGACAAAAGGGCTGAACTGGCACATATGATGGGTGTACCAGTGGTATGCTACGCGTATGTGGTCAGCACCTCGTAAGCTTGTCAATCACCAATTACGCCCCGCATACAGAAGAGTACGCCTAACGTACTCGGCTAAGTCGACTCAGTCGGGTTGGCTCGGCTGGGTTGACTCAGCTAGGTGATGACTTGACTTCTGATCGTTGACAAAGTTTGACCAAGGGCATTTTGGGGAAATTATTAATGGTTAATGTTTTGACATTTAGGAATTGGGTGAGCTTGTATTTGGAAGTAGAGAATTGATCAGTTATTCTTCAGATTGTGAGGTGAGTTTTCCTCACTGTACTTACGAGTCGAAGGAGCCAAGGCCGGCCCATTGGATTGATATCATGGTTTATCATATGCTTTTATGTTGTAGCGATCTGTTAGATCTGTATCCTAGTATATAGGATGTAATATGCGGTAGTAGTTTGTGAATCTACATGTTTGTCTGATAACCAGTTATATGCTTATCTGTTGCTGAATATATGTTATGCTATTTATATATGTAGACATAGTATGGTTGGGTTGAGGTGGTACAACTTTGTAAATATACTATGATATATTTTAATAAATAATACTATGATATATTTTAATAAATAAAAATGAAAAAACTTGGATTGAAAATTTGGATGTTACATGTAAGTTGGCTTCAAACTTTGAGGCACGTGCTATCTCAAGAATTTTATCGTGTTTCCGTTCTACCACCCCATTTTTTCAGGGGTATGAGGACAAGTTATGTATAGCAATATTCCCTTTTTTCACAGAAAAATTCTTCATGGAGGATGATATGAATTATCCCCCATTATCACCTCTTATACATTTTATCCCTTTATCGAATTATGTTTCTACTATGTTTTGAAAATTAGCTAAATGGATGTGTGCATCACTTTTATATTTAAGTAAATAAACCCAAAACGCTCTACTAAAATCATCCACTATGGTAAGGAAATATCTAGCCCCTGAAAGAGAATGCGTTCTATAAATGCCCCAAACATCAACATGTAACAATTCAAAACATCTAGTTGTTTTTATTGAGCTTTTGTGAAAAGGAAGCCTATGTGTTTAACTTTAGTACATGAATCGCAAACCCTATCTTTTATTTTGCAGTTAAAATTTTCTAAGAATCTAACTTGATCTAACTTTGAACCGAAAGTGTGACCAAATATCTTGTGCTATAATTCAACATCAGACGTTGTCATAATAGCTCTCCTTTGCCCTACCACGAATCCTATTCGTCATAAACCACGACTGCACTCACCTTCGCAAATCAGCTTCCCCTTGTGTAATAAGTGCATAAAACATCGTTTAGGAAGAAAAGTTACATCACATTGCAAATCTTTAGTCAAGCAGCCAACGTACAACCAATTTCAATTACATTTAGGAATATGAAGAACTTTGTCGATTTTAATGTCGTTTGCCAGTAGGTAATTGCCTTTTCTTTCCATATATAAGATTTCTCCATTAGGTATGGTGATAGGGGTTTTAAGGAAGCTACTTTTTGTGCTTTCATGTAGTTCCTTGTTGCATGTTATGTGCTCGGTAGCTCCCGAGTCAACAATCCATGCGTCATTTAATTCAACTTTACTTGCCATGTTGACCCCTGGTACTTTCTTGTCACTAGTCTCTTCTTTGGAGAAGTGTTCAATTAGTTTTTGATAATGTTCTGATGACAACCCTAGTATAGGACTGGGGTTTGTCTCAACATGAGCTGCCTTTGCTTTGTTCTTTTTTATCGTCCTTTTGCTAAGCCACCAATCCAGGTACCCAATTCTTTTAAAACATACGTCTTTGTTCTTGCAATTCTTTTCACAAAAGGTACATACTTCCATTTCTTCATCGCCACTTTGTTTTGAATCCTTTGGCACAGACTTCTTTCTATGTTGGTTCACGTTTGTTAATGCCTCCTTTCGTTCAAGGCTAAAGGTTTGGATGCGGCTGTATCAACCGATGGTTTCTTCATGGCGGATATTGCCCTTTGCTGCTCGTCCTCTGCCAAGAGATGATAAGCCGCTCCTAAGGTTGTTGTTGGTTTCATGTAGAGGATTTGAGTTTTGATTGTAACATATTCTTCGTCGAGTCCCATATGTAATTCAGAAAGCCTTTCTTTCTCTTTAGACTCGTTGAGTCGCTTTCCTAACTCGCATGTGCAACCGATGCAGGTACACTGTGGAGACGAAGACATGGTTTGGATTTCATCCTAGGGACCTCACATCTTAGTGTAATATGTGGACATAGACATGCCATCTTGATGTGTGATTATGAGAGACTGTTTTAATTTGTATGCCCAAGAGGTGCTTTCTTTACAAAACAAGAAAAACGACCATTAGGGACGACATTATTTGCGACGACAGGAGGCATTTGGGACGACATCAAACAAATGCGGGAATCTCGTCGCTATTAGTCAGGCGTCGCCGCTAATAGTATCGTCCCTAATGATACGATACATTTCCCACAAGATCTGACGGTCATGATTGCTTATCGCGCATTTATTAGGGACGACACCTTTTGCGGCGACGTCGGCGCCACTATTACTAGTGATCCGTGTCACGGTTTTACAAAGCAATCTTGGCCCTACGTTATCGAGCAGATCCACCGACGGTCAAAAATCACCAGAAAATGACACCATGGATTCCCTCCAACTTGTCACCGCTATTATTCCTTTGTCGCCGCTAAACGCGTCGCCGCAAAAGTTTATCACCTTCTATACCCTTCGTCCCAGATCAGATACTCTATGAAACTATTTTCCCAAACGAAATCTCCGACACACACCGACGATTTTGCGATTCCTCCAGTGAATTTTCGACCTTTTTTTAGTTTGGAACTTCTCCGACTTCCCTCCACCACCAACTCGTCCATTTCTGTCGACATTGCTTCGATTTCCGACGATTCCGGCATCAGTTTCCGGCCAGTAGCTTCGACTCCGGCCACGGTATGGCCTTCTTTCTCTTTCTCTCACGATTCTAACCTTGATTCCCTTACTGATTTCTTGAGTATTTCATGTTTAAGCACCACAACAGCTACCACTATTTTGTCGAACTTTTTTCCGGCTACCACCACCACCATTGTTTTGTTCTCCGGCCACAGGTATTTGTTCATTAATTTTAAATATATAGTGTATATGCATGTGTTTATTTTTGGTATTTAATTGGTATATATATATATATATATATATATATATATATATATATGTGTGTGTGTGTGTGTGTTTGTATGTTTGTATTTGGTATTGAATTTGTATATTTATATGTGTATATGTTGTAAATCTGTCAATGTATAAATCTTTAAAAAATGTATTCCTGATTGGTTTTAAGATATGTAATAGCTTAGTTGCTTAATATGTGTGTGTATGTGTATTTGGTATTTGGTATATGTATATATATAAAATATATGTGTGTATATGTGTATTTGGTATTTGGTATATCTATATGTATAAAATATATGTGTGTATATGTGTATTTGGTTTTTGGTATGGGTAATAGCCACCCTATTTTTTTTATATTTCTCATCTCTTTTATCAATACAATAACCTTTATTTCACTTAGATGCATTTACTTGTGTTCAGACATGTGTATACACAACAAGAAATATATAGTTTAGGGGCGACATTATTTGCTTGTGTATATGTGTATTTTTATGTAAAATGTTATGATTGACAATGTTAATTCGAAAAACAAAAAAAAAAAATTGTATGCTATAATTCACATTATCATTTAAAGTACAATGTTATGATAGAAAAAACTACATAACTAAGATTCTATAAATGATAAAAATATCCTATAATTCACATTTAAAGTACAATGCTATAACAGAAAAACAACTCCCACTTGTGTTATAATTTTTCATATTCTGTTATATATATATATATATATATATATATATATATATATATATATATATATTGTGTTATAATTTTTCAGGATGTCATTTTTTTGGGTTCCATTGGTTCATCTCATGGATGTACCTCCCAAACAAAGAGGCATGGCAATTTTTTTGCAGCTGTACCTCCCAGAAGAAGAGGCATGACAGTAAACAAAAAAATGCATCGACTATATAAAGCAAACGGCAGACGGCCTCTAAAAATAATATTTGATAAAAATACTTTTGTGCTGATTGGGGATATATACAAATGCTTCATTCGGGAGGTTGGAAGTTATATATGGCGCAACGTAGCTTTCGATAAGAACACATGGAAAGAAGTTCCTGAAGCTGATCGGAATGGCATGTTTACATATCTTTCGGTAAATTATTTATTAAGTTATATTTAACATATTTAATTTTGATTTATTTTTAACTTCTCTATTTTTTGTAGACATATTTTGATTTTCAAGCCATTTCAAATGATCCCGATGCTAGAATTTTATGGGCAGGAAAGGCTCGACCCCCCCCCCCCCCCCATTATAGATTCAGTGTGTCGGAGTGCTACAATTGACCACTTCTTAACTGATACACATTTGTAAACGATCCAGTGTAAACAAAGAATGCTGGAAGAAGCAATTAGTTAAGAATCGTGGAGGGACGCACAACTACGGTAGTGCTTCTTTCAAAAATGTAAGTTACAATAATGTTTATTCAATCATAACATATTTTGTAATGTTTTTTCAAGTATAACATATTTTTTAATGTTAGACAAAATTTGAATAAACTTGAAGAATTTCACCGTGCACATGTCAATAAACAAGGGGAATTCATTGACTCGTTAGTTGAAGAACAATACGTAAGTTATTATTACTTAAAAATGAATTAGAATGTTGTTTTTTTGTGTTTGGTTTGAAGTATATTGACAATATTCATGAAATGCAGAATGCTTTAGTTGCTAAGGTTACTTTACAAACTCAACACATAGCCGACTCCGGTGGTAATCTGAACTTCATTGATTGGATAACGTTATTTGAGAATGTGTTAGGTGGTCGAAGGGGACATGTCAGAGGCATCACCTTCCATAGCGGGTACAAGTGCTCCCTCCCGGTGGTAGTCACAGTCACAGTCACAAATGCCGCAACCAACACAGGTACTTATTAATTTGTTGTGAATTTTTTTGTTTGGTAGTTTGTTAGTTTCTTAGTTTGTTAAATTGTTATGAATTTGGTAGTTTGTTAAATTCTTAAGGACTTAATGTGTTTGTGACTTAATTGTTTATAGTTTGATATATTTTAACTTATATTCTTACTTTGTAGGATGTGGATGTTAACGCTTTTCTCCAAAACCCGACGTTTGTGATGGCAATTGGAGATATTGTCTGCTCATTTAGCAAGCAAGTCGACAAAGCGACCAACAACGACGAGGAAAACGTCGATGGGGAAGACGATTAGTACATATTGTTTTATGTTATGGATGATGTTATTATGGATTTATTAGAGTATGGACTAGATCGACTACTATCTCATTTTTCGACTATTATTTCATGTTTGTTAGATTGTTTATGTAATGTGATATACTTTATGTATGTTATTTGATGTTTTATGTAATGCAGATTTTTAAATTATAATTTTTATATTTTTATAAATTCTGCTTTTTTATAATATAAACTAGTATAAAATATAAATTTTATTTAAAAAAAAGGGAAAATGGCATATATGCCCTATTACGTTTCTAGGGTTTACTCATTCAGCCCCTAAAGTGTTTTTCGTGCTTTATTAGGGAGCAAACTTGTTTTTGTCGGGCCCTTTAAGTCCTTTTCAAAGAAATGAAGCGGTCACCCGGTTATTTTGATGATGTGGACTTTGACCTTCAAAAGTCCACTTTTCCTTTCACTTTCTTTGTGTTAATCTACATGTACAGGTGTATATGACAAAAATAAATTATAAAATGACAAAACTACCCTTAAGACCATCTTTTATTTATTACACTCTCTTTTCTCTTCGATCGTCTTCTACATAGGAATCAATTAAAAATAAAGAAAACCATCTTTTATCTCCTTTAAAGAAACTGATAACCACAAAATGTAAAGCTTCATTTACCTAAAATTATCCCTATCCCATTTACCACCGGTACAACCATTACCATCTTCAACCACCAAAAATGTCACCTCCTGCACCAGTTCCTGTTCATCTTTTCTTTTCTGAGTTCCTCAAACTTGGAAGAACGATCATCATCTTCAGGTTTACAGATATCCAATTGCTTTGAAGAAAACATCACTAACCTGAATGCAATACAATCACGAATATTGCGATTAAAATACAGTTGAAATGTACAACCGGATAGTAACCCTGTTATCGATTTCTTCAATGGCAATTAGATGCCGATCAGATGTTATCATTATAATAACATCTTTCCATCTGTCATATAAACTTCCATATAAACTTCCGAGCAGAAACAGAGAAGATAGATACGTCTTTCCATCTAACAAGGAAGCATCCACTATCAACAAGAAGCGAACAAGAATTCTCACATTCAAAATTATCGATCAGCAACTTCGCTTCATTCACTGTCGCATCACTCAATTCTAGAGAAGGGATCGGTTGCGATTGATTCAGAATAAGCGATTGATTCAGAATAGAAAAAAGGGGTATACATGCGATTAAACTGTTTCAAAGGGGTATACCTACGATTGATTTAGAATAGGCGATTGATTCAGAATAGCCGGAAGTTGGGTCGTTGTAGAAGGTGGGAATCGACGGGCTAGAACTAGAGGTTGAAGGTGGGTTTCCGGTTGTGCTTTATGATTCCGGCGCCGACTTCACCATTTCATTTATTTTGATGGGTACTTTCCGATCACCGGTCCTCTCGTTTCTATGTTTGTAGAAAGGTTACGAGGGTTTTTTGATGAGAAAGAGAAAGAGGTAAACCATGTCATCGCTTACATGTTAGCTTATGCTTATGTGGCAATGGAAACCGGCAACAATATGTGAAAGGGATTAGATTGCTAGGTTACAAATAATTCGTTCCCTCATAAAGCCACAAAATAAGTTAAGTGGCTAAATGGGTAAACCCTAGAAACTTAATAGGGTATATATGACATTTTCCCAAAAAAAGACAAGCATTAGTGGCGACACCTTTAGGGTAGATCTTGAGCAATAGCGACGACAACTCCCGCCAGAATATTTGGCCGGAGTAACATTGGCCGGTGGCCGGAATATTAAGTATTAGCTACGAGGTATTTGTTGCGACCCAATTGAGACGACATGTCGTCCATAATAACTTTAGGGGCCACTTTCTTGACTATTTGCGACACTTTTTGTCGTCCCTAAAAACGTGCCTTTTCTTGCTGTGTTATAATTACCCAACCTCTCTTCATGGTCGTTCCAAATTTCTTTTGTTGTGTGTGCATACTTCACATTGGATCTGATTTCATTAGCTATGGTTGTGGCCAACCACCCTTTGATCATCACTTCCAAAGCATGTATTCTTCCGATTCCTCTCCTAGTTTTGAAGGGTTCCATTGATGAACCCAATTTTATTTTTGGCGAATAGAAAGTTTTGCATCCCCTATGCCCAGTCGTTGTAGTTGCTTTCTCTGTGAGCGCGTCATCGTTCACCTGCATCTGTCACGGGCAAATAGAAAGTTTCTTTCCTGTCGATTCTGGCTTGTATCCTTCGCCGTCACTGTCTGGTATTTTTTATCGTAGGTGCAAGACATTCTCCCATACCAAAAAAGATTTAATGCTCAAATAACTTAGGCAACAAGAAACCAAAAGAATCCTAACCTAAACACAATAGAAAACGTTAAAAAATATATATGACCGACACTAGGATAATTACTCAAAATAATAAGGAAGGTTTCATTTAAAAAGGATCTATCTAGATTTGGTAATTAATATTGAGACCACTATATTATCGTAAATATTTTTAAAACATACCATGTCTACGTAGAAAACTCCTAAGATATCATAGTTGAAATAAAAATTAAATCCATAGAAATCGCAATAGTATCTTCGACATCTATCGAAATCCCTTTAAAATCGGCATTAGAATCAATCCAAATTATCTTTATCACAAAAACCTCATCCAATAAGGGACAAAAGTATCGATTTCTAAAGCGTCGTCAATCAGCATCAAAGTCTGTTGAGATAACAACAATATTATATTTCAAAAAGAACCCAACAATATCATCTTTAAAAAAAATAAGATTAATAACTGCTTTCTATAAAGCATAGTCGTGTTGAATCGATTTCCATATTACCAACTCATCAGCATTGAAGCGTTAATCATCGTTGAAGTACTTCGAAGGTATGTATTCCTTTCTTTCCACGTTCTTTTTGATAATGAAATTCCATTAGTAACGTATCATCTTACAAATTTGACTTTTCCGATATTGTAAGCAAGACATGCTTAATTCAATGTGGCTAACATGATTAGTGATCACCACTCTCGATCACTGCAGTTATTTAATAAGGCTGTATGTTTTTTATATTAACAACTGAAATTTTCATTGATATCGGAGAGATTGAAGTTAAAAGTTCCAAGTTGCATACATTATTTTTTCTTTGACGTTGCATACGCCTTCTTTGGCTTTCTTTTTTCGTTATTTTATGTTTTCTTGATATCCATACATCGATAGAAGAGAACTCCATTCAAAAAAGAAGGTGATCGTGACTAAGCTTCTAACCGAATCTTTTTCACGCTGTTATTGGCAGGCAATCTAAGCACGATGTCAACTGATGAGAATATCGAGGTATGGAAGATGAAGAAGCTAATAAAGGCACATGAATCTGCGAGAGGCAACGGAAGCAGCATGATTTCTCTGATAATCCCTCCACGTGATCAAATTTCACGAGTCACCAAGATGCTTGCTGATGAATTTGGAACTGCTTCCAACATTAAGAGCAGGGTGAATCGTCAGTCTGTCTTAGGTGCTATAACATCTGCCCAACAGAGGCTCAAGCTCTACAACAAGGTACCTCCAAATGGACTTGTTCTATACACAGGAACAATACTAACAAATGATGGAAAAGAGAAAAAGGTTACAATCGACTTTGAACCTTTCAGACCTATAAACGTATCTCTTCACCTGTGTGATAACAAGTTCCACACAGAATCTCTTAACCAGATGTTGGAATCTGATGACAAGTTTGGCTTCATTGTTATGGATGGAAAAGGCACCCTGTTTGGGATAGTAAGAGGCGATAGTAGGGAGGTTCTATACAAATTTCCTGTTGATTTGCCAAAGAAACATGAAACGGGAGGGCAATCAGCTTTGAGATTTGATCGTATTCGTATGGAGAAACGTCACAACTATTTAAGGAAAACAGCAGAGCTTGCAACAAAGTTTTATATCAATCCTGCTACTAATCAGCCTAATGTTTCTGGACTTATACTTGCTGGATGCGCTGATTTCAAGAATGACCTCGGTCAATCTGATATGTTTGACCCACGTCTTCAGGCGAAAATCTTGAATGTGGTTGATGTCTCTTATGGAGGTGAAGATGGTTTCAATCAGTCTATTAAGTTGTCTTATGAGATTCTTGCAAATGTGAAGTTCATACAGGAGAAGCATTTAATTGGGAAGTATTTTGAGGAGATAAAACAGGGTAGAGGGAAGTATGTCGTGGGTGCTTATGACACGTTGGAAGCATTAGAAATGGGTGCTGTGGAAACACTGATTGTTTGGGAAAATCTGGAGATTAATCGATATGTTCTTAGAAACGGTGTTTCGGGTGAAATTATTAGAAAACATTTAAACAAGGAACAGGAGACTGATGAAGGAAATTTTCGGGATTCGGTCAGCAATGTTGAACTTGAAGTTGAGGAAAAGATGTCTCTTCTTGAGTGGTTTGCTAATGAGTACAAAAGATTTGGATGCAAGCTTGAGTTTGTCACAAATAGAACCCATGAGGGATTTAACTTTTGTAGAGGCCTTGGTGGGATTGGTGGCATTCTTTGTTACCTGATTGATATTCACCCATTTGATGAGTTGTCTGATGATGGAGAAAATAATGATATTGAAATTTCTGATGATGAGGAAAGTTATGATACTGAGAATCATGATGAAGGGGTGAATTATGATGCTGAATAGCAATCAACTACTTCTCAAGCTTCTATCCAATTGCCTTGCATATTTCCTCCTTCATGGAATTCTTACA